ATAAGAAGCGATAATGAAAATGTACATATTGATTGTAAGGTGCTACTCCTACTCGACCAATCCAATCCAATCTGCTGGCATCGCAGTAGCAACAAAAAGTGAAAAATTGACCGAATGAATCCAATTCACATTCCCCACCAACAAACTAACAAACTATTAGCAACCCCGACACGCCAAGGGGCATTCCAACGTCATGAACGCTGGATTGGTGTTGCATTCATCCAGTACGGCCCATTCCGTGCACATTTCGTGTTTGTTGACACAAGATTTCAAATGCTTGATGCCATGGTCGTTCGCCAATCGAAACAGATAATGTTGGGATTCCACCAATTCTTGAACGACCCGCCTTGGTTCCTGTGCCGCCATTTGCGTCACTCCCCCGTGATGGAGGGATATGCAGGATTGACAGGCTTTCCGGCATTGGAGCAACATGTATTGTGGGTTGCTTTTGCATTCATTTTTGTTGGCCCAGTCTTCGCATTCGGGATGTGCATTTATACATTGCATGGAATCTGGAACATTGAGACATCGAAACGAGGTCATGTCCTCGTCAGACGGCAAGCATTCCATTTTGGCATTCTCTTTGGATCCTGCTGGTGGTTTGGCGGACGCTTGTGTGGGCAGTACTACCAATAATATCGACAGTATGGCAATCAATTGCACCAGTGATACATTGAAAGATGGAAACATGGATCGTATCATCTCTGGAACGCAACGGATCAAGAAGGAGCTGGAGTCTTTGCTATGCGATCGATGACTGTGAAATTTAGAACGTCCATGTTTTTCTTTTCTTTCTCAGTCCAATTTTCAAATTACTCCCCCAAAGTAGAAGTGAAAGGGGGAATGACCTGCTGGCGTGCGCCGTTTGAAACGGGCTTTCTACGTAATGATTTGGTAGTCAAAAGACGTAGAAATAATCGAATCGCTGGACCACCAAGAACTGAGCGATCCATCATGCATGAGATCACTCACTCACTCACACAGTGAAACCCAACACAAGTTGTGACTACTTCAAGACGCT